CCCTCATGGGACGTCACCCTAAGTTGCGTAGCGTAACCTGCGTATCGCCAATCACAGGACTAGTTCAACGGAATTAATGCCTGTGTCCAGCAGAAGTTTGCGCTTGCTAAGCGCTTTGCGTTCATTGGATTATACTTTCAGATCTGTGCTGAAATAGAGCTATTCTTCTAGATCTATCCAATCAGCATAAAGCACTTATTCTTAGCTAACTTCGGCAGAACACAGCCATTGAAACGGTTCTATCAGCATGACCCTGTGATTGGTGATACGCAGGTTACGCTACGCAACTTACGCTCCATGTGAAAGCACCCTTAGGGCTTAAATCTCTATTGTAGACTGGGACTTACGCTCCCTCCTGTTATTTCATACCTCCATGGATAGCACAGATTAATGTGGTGATAGGCTTTAATCGTGATTTCACTGCATCGTGTAAACAGGCTCGAGTCACGCTAAGTGTGTACTAAAATTATATAATGTAGAAATACAGAGTATTTCTAACGTCAGCTAAGTCTTTTTTATGCTTAACAAATAAGTGAGAAATTTATTGCATATGTATATTCTTATTTGAGTATCATGGAGTTTACTTAACCCATGTTTATATCGTTCAACTTAACCTCACCTTAGCTTATCCTCTCCTAGCTTTGAAACGATTTTGACAATATTACTTGACTCATTATACTGTGTCTACAAAGATCGAGAAGAAAAAATGGAATCTACATCTAACAAAGTAAAGTATCATTAGATTAGAGATTTACTGACTCCTTTTCTTAATTCTTGTATGATATTTACTATGCATGCCGTTGAGCACTTGCTATCGTATTTTTATTATTTTCAATTATTATTTCTTAGTATATATTTTCTCATAAAATTACTTTAGAGCATGAATTTCTTGGTGTAAATTATTTTTTACTTTTCAACAATTTCTTAAAATTTATGAGCCAAAGTTATATCCTCTAATATAATATAATATCTAATATAATAGTAATAAAGCAGTGTAGAATAATTAATTGTTTCCAATGGAATGTATGATCGTAGGATGAACAGGATAACCCAGAAGATTCGGACTCGGAAATGGATGAAATAGAACCTAGATTAAAGTATGTGAGGATACGCAATGATCTGGAACATATTTTGCAAAACGATGCAGCTAGCTGTATTGCTGTACATCCAAAGGTAAGAATTATTAAAAATTTTTATTTTAAAGTAAATTGCGTCGACCTCATGCATATAAATGAATACACATAAAACTATAAGATTGTAAACATAATTGTCTAATAATTTCACCTCTTTTCTCTCCAGTTTCTTTGTCTGGGATCACATTGGGGAATGATACATCTTCTAGACCACCAGGGGAACAACATAAAATCTAAAACGTTACAGGCACACACAGTGGCAGTCAATCAGATATCTATAGATTACAATGGAGATTTTATTGCCTCTTGTAGCGATGATGGAAAAGTTTTCATTTATGGACTGTATAGTACAGAAAACAATCACAATATGAGTATGGGCAGGCTAGTCAAGAGTATAGCGATTGACCCGAATTATAAGAGTGGCAGTGGAAGAAGATTCATTACAGGTTTAGTATTTAAAATTTTAATATATACACAATCTTTTGAGTATATATACATATAATCTCTACTGGAGCTCGTGACAGAATTAATTTTTGAAGTTGTTTGAAGTTTTAGCTTTTAATTAATATGTGTTTGCAATATATCCATAGGTGATGACAAGCTAGTACTTTATGAAAAGACTTTTCTTGCCAGAATGAAGCCAACAGTGCTCTGTGAAGCAGAAGGTGGAGTCAGATCTGTTGCGTGGTCTGGTCGCTTTGTTGCGTGGGCATCCGATACTGGTGTGAGAGTCTATGATCTTGATGCTAGATGTTCATTAGGGCTTATTAAATGGTCCAGTGCCACAGAGTAAGCACTGACAGAATCACTTGTACAACATTGTGTAAATCTAATTTAATTTTGATAAGGGCGTTTCTAGGAGAAACAAAACTTTGTAGAAAATACATATTTACCTTACAAGAATTGTAAAAAATTGTTATAAGTATGTATATAAAATTATGTGAAAATAGTTACGAATTATCTACACTTAAATTCAATTAATTTAAAATTGAAATTTCTTGATCATGTTTTATATATTTTACATAACGTTTATGCAGAGCATCACCAGAGCACTATCGATGCAATTTGCAATGGTCAGACGATAAAACGCTATTAATTGGATGGGTAGATATCGTGCGAATTTGCCATATTAGAAAACGTACGATGCAAGAAATGGTCAATCGAGATTTACCCGAATTTGTAGTAGATCCAGGTAATCAGTAAAATCTACTTATTCCTCTTTTCGCACATATTTCAATGTGAAAATGTTGGAATGGATAGAGACTAAATTAACAAGGACACAATTACAAATAAAATACAGATGAACATAAATATATATATGTCGTAGCCCGATAGCGAAATTAGCCATTTAGCTAAAAGCCTAGGCGTTTAGCTAAATGCCGCCCGTTAGGCTAATCGACGACGATATAGTCTAATGGCCTGAAAAATTCAGCCTGTTAGACGACAAGTCGGCTTTTCGCCTAACGGCCTGGTGCGCTTTAGGCGATTAGAGAAATGCTTGTTTTGAGGCTCGATGCGTTGTCAATTTATTTAGTACACAATTATTACTACATTACTATTTGTTAATACAGGATAACATAGTCAATTCATGCCTGAAGTCAATTTATTAATTTTTACACTTTCTATTTGTTAATGCAAGACGAGCTACTGTGACAACGAGAATTGCAAAGAGCCGTGACAGGGTGGTAGTGTCTAAATATTCTATTCTAAGTTTATTGCGAAAAAATATCACCTCGGCCAGGGTTTGAACCTGGACCTCCCTCTCGCTAGGCGGGCGTCTCAACCAATTCAACCACCGAGGCACATGGCAATACTCATCGCAATAAACAGTCTAATGTTGATTCCCGAGTGCCACCTATCGTGAGAGTATTCGAAATCC